GCGTTGATTTGAGATTTCGTGGATAATTCAAATTTTCGACAATACGCTAAAATCGACCTGAAAGTGTCGATTTATTCACAATTTTCGACGTTTCTTGTCGAAAATTGCGAATAAATCGACACTTTCAGGTCGATTTTTGGAAGACGAAAAACAAACCACGAAATCTCAAATCAATGCTCAAATCGACTGAAATTAGAGGCACCCATCACTAAATAACAATCATTCCTACATAAAACAATCAAATCCTAACTATCCATATCAAATTTAACTCAATATCTAAGGGGGGAAATAGTCTAACTCTTGCTTGGAGATAACGGCGGCGGCGGCGGCGGGGCGTCAGGTTCGTTTGGGTCGCGGCGGTAGGTGGAGGACGGGCGGCGCGGTAGGTTTCAGGGTGTGGTGGGTTTTGGGGAGGTTTTTTTTTGGGAGATTTTTTCTTTTTCTTTTAATTTGTATTAAACTCATGAAATCTTACTATCTCTTTGGTATAAGTTGATATTTTATAGGTAAGGAGTATTTTTGTACTTTTAATTTCTTTTTGGTATTAAAGTAATTTTTTTTTTATAAATATGTATTGAATTGTGGTTTTAAACTTGGTGATATTAAAGTAAAAAAAAAAAATCTGATATTAGTTCTAGCCATCCCTTCATAGTATTCTTTATATATTTAATAAAAACAAAATATTTGATTATAGTAAACTTACATTGCACGATATATCATATATTAGACATATGTACACAATTCAGTTTTTACCCCAAAGAACTTGTGTGTTTGAACTGTGATTGAAAAGGACAATGATTCGGATCGTAAACAAGCTCGAAACCTTCATAACGCAACCCATTGACCGTCAAACTATGCTAAATATCATTAGGTAAAGCCGGAAAAGACGACGACTACAAATCTTGGAGAGTTCAAGGAAAATAATCGCAATCTTCGTAACGCGATTACTTTATCTCTTCTGGAAATTCAATGCCTTGACAGCAAATGCAAAAACAAAAGCAAACACAACTCCGAAACCAGCAACCATAACAGCAACCACACCGATAAAATCGTGTCTGAAACCAAAGTAACTTGACAAGAACTCTCCGACAGGTTGCTTTGTAATTTCCAGCTCATCTCTTACATCTCCAAACTGTGATGTAACTAAACCGTAGAGTGTCCACGCCACAGGATTTGCCCAATGGAACCATCTCCACCACACAGGTGTCCTCTGTCATTAAACAATTACGAGAAGAGAAAAAAGAAATCTGATTAGTCTTTTTTTCACTATAAATCGGACTGATCGGATCGAAATTAGCACTTCCAAAAACAAATCATTTTTTCTAAGTGAAAAACCAATTCCAATTTCGTCCCAAGAAAAATCGGAAAAATTCGAGTTTCGGAAATTGGAATGAAAAAGCTTGTTCCATAGTCGGAGATTTTTGGATCAAAAACGACGAAATTCTTATAATTCCAATGTCTAATAACCTAAAATATAAAATACATAATAATTTTGATATTATAAGTGTATTTATTATTCAGGGAAAAAAAATGAAATTTTCGGAAATTAAAATCGAATTTAAAATCGGAATCTCATATATATTCCAATTTTGATTAAAAAAAAAAGGGAAGAATCGGAAATCGGAATTTTTGCAATTCAAAATGAAAACTGTTCCAAAAAAAAAAAAAAAAAAAAAAAAAAAAATGGATCGGAATCTGCAGAAATCGGAAATTTTGTTCCAATTTTCACCTCTACATAGCAGCATAATACAGCGAAACCTAGAAATTTCTAGAACTTACCGGTCTCGGAATTATGAACCCCGAAAAAAGATTCCACAGCGAATAAAAGAAGAAAGATATGATGTTTGAAATATGATGATTAGGAGTCAAAGCCACAGCCATCATGCCGTAGAAGGTGAAGTACAACAGACTGAAGAACATGAAATATATATACCACCAATATTTAGCCGCTGTCCACTCAAAACCAATCATTGCATACACGATTGTCCCGTATGTTATCGCCTGAGCAAAACCATACGGAATTTCAATCACAGCCTGCAAAAAAAAAAAAAAAAAAAAAGGTATCAATATTCCATATTCTATATTGCCATCACATAACAGATTTATAATCACCTGTCCGAAGGCATACGGTAAGGCTGAGTACAACCCCGCAGCCCTTTCCCGATAGAAAACCGTTCGTTCAACAGACACCACAGGCTGTACCGATGACGCGATTTGTACACCTAGGAAGAAGACCGAGGCATACATGGACCCCATCGCATTGAAAATTTCTTGCTGAGTACGCCTGATATATATATACAGTTAAACCTCTATAAATTAATGCAGTTGGGACTAGCGAAATTCTATTAATTTAGCGGGATATTAAATTATCGAGGTTCTACTATGTGTGCGTGTCTATATATATAGCATTAGAACGAGTACATAAATCTTGAGAACGATAACCAAGAAATGATTTGATTTTTATATGCTTTACGTACCTTTTGGAACCGAGATCCCAGAAAATCGATCCAAACAGGATCGCTAGGAAAATCGTGTACAGAATTCTTACAGCAGAGTAAAGAGGATTGCGCCAGTATGACAAGTGTTGTTTCCATAGGCAAGCAATGCACTGAGTGAGAAAAGGCTGAGAGTACTGAGTTTGGAAATGAAGGTCTCTCGTACCCGGAGGTGGTGTACTTAGCTCGTTAATCAGAGCTTTATTTCTCCTAATTAAAACGAAAAAAAAAATTAAAAAGTTTCATTACCTACTAACATTAATTTGCAAAATTGAACTGACCTACAAAGCTCGGAGTTTTTGTAAAGCTGACTAAAGTCCACCCCTAAAATCATTTCCTGAGCCGAAGATGTTACTTCCAGCATCCATGTTGCCGGATTATAACCGTCCCTGATTCTCGTAACTCCCTCGATTCCCTAAGATAAAATCAAACGAAAAATATTCAACTAATCCTTCGTGTTCGTTAAATCATTTAGGAAAAAAGAAAAAAAACTCGCAATCTTTTATAACTACGTTGGTCACCTCAAAATACTCGATCAAATTGCACGAATGCCTACCCAACGGCCCCACGTATATCTCTTGTCCCCCTCGCTTCATCAATAGCAGCTGTGCATTTATATTCCATTAACTAACAATTCATGAAAGATCAAAAAGGTATTTATTTTAGAGTAAATAGCAGTTTGCGCCCCAAACTATAGGTCATTTTGCACGTTGCCACCATAACAACGTTTTGTTTTTGTAATTTATTCACTCAACTAATTATTTTTTTGCAATGTGCAAAACGACATATAGTTTGGGGGGAAAACTGCTTTTCACTCTTTATTTTATCAAATAAAAAGAAGGGTAAATTACCAAAAACCCCCTGAAATAAGGTCTCTATTTACCAAAAATCGCCTAAAGTTTTCGCAATTACCAAATAATGATATTTTTCCAAAAAAATATTACGATTACCCCTTCCTTCGTGAACTAGGGTAAAATTGATATATTTCGGGAATATTCCATGAGATCAAAAAGATGTTTTTTTTTTTTTGTAAATTGACTAAGTTTAGGGGGTTTCTCTTAATTTATCGATAAAAAATAAATTCTTGCCTCGTCGAAAGATTCGAAAATGTCGATGCTAGGCTGATGGATGGTGCAGACAACTGTCCTTCCAGTGTTAACAGTGTTCCTAACAGTTCTCATCACAATAGCAGCAGCTCTTGCATCTAAGCCTGAAGTTGGTTCATCCATGAATATGATCGATGGATTTGCAACGAGCTCAACTGCAATAGTCAACCTTTTTCTCTGCTCTGTTGATAGTCCGTTGACCCCAGGTAACCCTATTAGACCTCCTCTTAACGGAGTTAGCTCTACAAGCTCCATTACACTTTCAACAAATGCCTGAAAATAAGACCAACAAATAAGATCATCTTATTGGGATACTACTACCGTACCACGGATCGGACCAGAATATGCACTATCGGAAAATTTCCAATTTTTCGGAACTTAAGAAGTATAAATCAATCCCAATTCTGTTCAAAAAAATATAAAAATAGGACAAACCCGGAAATCGAAATTTTGGAAATTGCAACGAAAAAACTTGTTCTTATTATATCAGAAATTTTCGGCGGATTTCGTAAAAGTCCAATTTAAAGTAAAAGAAAATATAAAATACATAATGATATTTATAATATAATTGTATTTTTTGGGGGGGAAAAGTCCGGAAATTAAAATCCGATCGGAAATCGGAATCTCAAATTTATATTCCAATTCTGATAACAAAAATTCAGAAAAATAGGAAATTGGAAAACCAATCCGAATATCTTAAAAAAAAACGGAAAACCCGGAAATTGGAACGAAAAAGCTTGTTCTTAAATAAGAAATTTTTGGCGGATTTCGTGAAATTCCCTTTTTTAGTCATAGAAAATATAAAATACATAATAATATATAAGAAAGTATTGTCTCAAATCCGAAAACGCGGGAATCCAAAATTTTGTACCAATTTCGACCCCTAGATACTACTAGTTAATAATTCAGAAAAAGAAACAAAAACCTTTCTGGTTTCGGAATCTATCTCGGAGGGCAAACGTAGCCAAGCCGAGAAAATGAGGGCCTCGTAAACCGTAACACAAGGAGAATGGATGTCGTTCTGTTCGCAGTATCCAGAAATACGAGCAAAAGTCTCTTGCTTCTTCGGATAGCCAGATATTGTAATATTTCCCTCAATATACCCGCCCGTTTTTCGACCCGCCAACACATCCATAAGTGTCGTTTTGCCGGCCCCACTAACACCCATTAGAGCAGTGAGTACACCCGGCCTGAAAGCTCCACTCACACCCTTTAGCAGTACCAACCTATCTTCAGTAGCCCCCTGATTTTTCATTTCCTGCACAAGTGAGAGGAAGTTATCACATGTGGTAGAGTATTCAATCTCTACCGTGCACCTTCACAAGAATTTCAGTTTTACCTGCGGCATGTCAACAGAGTATTTGACGTCGTCAAATGTTATGGAGTGTGGTTCCAAGGGAAGAACGACTTTCCTCTTCTTTTCTTTACAAGTTCAAGAGTTCAATAAATAAATAAAAAGATTCATCTTAGAATTTTTATCACCGAAATTCCAAAGTTGAAAATATTTAAAATTACTTGATAACTAACTAACCGTTGTTTACAGTTGAAACCTCATTCTCGTTTTCTGGTAGCACAGCTTGAGGTTTTCCCAGAGCTGAAAAATGTGGGACAATCATTGTATTAGTGCATCGAACTTTTCGTAAAAATGTTCATTAAAAGCTGAAAAAAATCAGATTTAATATATATTCTCACGGTTAAGATAAGTCAGAGCCAGAACGCAAAGCGAGTTCAACAGAATCGTCGTGCCTAGTAATGCTCCAATTCCTATCCAGTACCAGTATGCGCCCGAAAAATACCCGAGAGACTCTAAAACCTCAACTCCCAGTGAGATGTTTGCATTCGTAGAAACCTTGTCGAAACAAAAATAAAAAATAAAAAAATCAACTTTCAATGTCATGACATATGATGGAGACAATATATATCACCGAATACTTACGTGTTTCCAACTGTGACCTGTGAACTCGTTCACCATAATTGCATTCTGTGCATACATCATCGGGGAGATGTAGTAACCCCATATCCACCATTTCTTCACATTCTCTACAAAAAAAAAAAAAAAAAAAGCATTTATTTAAATAATGAGTTCTAAATTGATTAATTGCAAAGCAAACATTGCTTATTATTTAAATACCTCGTGACAGGACAAAACCGCACAACGCAAAAACCATAAGCAACACAAAGAAGCCAAATGTGTTGGCTATGATCATGTTCCTACCCGTCGCCCCAATCAATCGAAACAATGAAGACGCCGTTTGAATTTGAAATAAAAGCACCAAGTAGTATTTAACAAATCTGTATCATATAAACATACGGTAATGATATCTCGTCAAAGAGGCAAATTAGGGTAGTGTGCTGAAAAAAGTTACATCGTAGAGTTTTTCTGACAATTAGAGTAAACACAGGGGTGGTGAATACAATAAAATAAACTCGTTTTTCCTTTTACCTTCCAAAATTTGGATCAAATCCGATTTCGTAGTAAGTGAGTACCGTAAAGACGCCTATTTCAACAACAGTAACAGGGATGCTGAGTATCCATACAGGGAGAGCATACGCCCATGCTGGAAAAAAGGAAAAATTCCGTTGCTTAAAAAAGACCGGAAGCTTCTGGATAGTCATGGCTATCTCCGCCATTCCGTTGAATGTGACAGTTGTGATGGCATAAAACAGAGCACCGGCAAATATTCTTCCGTCGGTTACGTTGTCTCGGTGCATTTTAGGCCGAAGGAAGAGTGTCATTGATATGATAGCCATTATACTTAGCTAAAAAAAGCCAGGTCCAAGAAATCGTCGTTAGTAATAACATACATATATATATATATATATATATATATATATATATATATATATATATATATATATATATATATATATATAAACGAAATGGAAGTTATGTTATTAAATGGAAGTTATGTTATTAATGCTAAATATTGCTGACCTGGAAGAGCTTGAAGATAAATATAAAAGAATTTCTCCTCATCAATAATAGTTGTCTCGAGGTACAAGCTTTCAGAAGCTCTTTTTTTCCGACGCCGTATTTTTGAGTCGTCAAAGCAGCGGGGTGGCTTTTAGTCTTGTCGAACGAGATTGCCAGCTCCGCGTTTAGTCTACGCCCGACGTGAAATGACTCGAACGACTCAGCAAATTCCGCTACTGATATAAACCGGTAAGGCTTGTCAGTATCACATGCCCAATACTGCTGCTGGTCTTTCTTCGATGTCACCTGCATTTGTTTACCAAAGTTTGAGTAATTAACGAAAAATCTTCATATTAAGTATTAGGGTAAATTACGGGTACATCTGAGGTAACACTAAATAACTTACAAACCCTTGTGGTATTGGTAATTACAAATACCTCTGAACTATTTCTCCGTCTTACAATTACATCCTTACGGAGTTATGAGTATCGAAATCTTGAAGAATGGAAGATTCATCTGAATTTCCGAATATATCCCCAGGGGTAAATATAATATATTCTCAGAGGGTAAATGTAATATTTTGTCTTACCTCAGGGATACCCGTAATTTAGCCATAGTTTGTTTGTTTAATAAAAGGGTAATTTACACAATTCATTCATTCAGTTGGGGTATATAACGGACTGTTAGTTTCAGGGGATATTTGTAACTAACAATACCACTGGAGTTTGTAAGTTATTTAGTCTTACCTCAGGGGTATCCGTAATTAACCTAATTATTATATATATAGTATATACATATTTCAAATGCTTACTTCTTGCAAGAAATCGGCGACCCCTTTTCGCTCGGGGCATTTGAAGCCCATGGATTCGAAGAACTCGAGCACGTTTTCACGTGAGCCCTGGTAAACAATCCGACCTTCGGATATGAGGATGATGTCATCGAAGAGATCGTACGTCTCGGGTTCCGGCTGAAGGAGTGAAATAAGAACGGTCCCTTTCAGAGTGTGGATGGATTGTCTAATGGAATTCACGATTTGGAAGGTTGTCGAACTGTCCAAGCCGGTGGATATCTCGTCCATGAAAAGCGCCTTTGCGGGCCCCACCAATATTTCACCTGTCGTAACACGTTTCTTCTGCCCACCGGAGATTCCCCGAGTCATTTCATCTCCTACCAAAGTATCAGCACAAATGTCTAATCCCAATATCTGCAAACAGATGTAATATCAACAAAAAAAAAAATCATTTTTAGATATATTTGCGAAACAACTTACGAGTGCGTTAAGTTAATATACCTTGATAATATAATCTGTGACAATACTTGCTTCTTGACCTTCTATAGCTGCTGCCTACATGATTATTAAAAATTTAAATCAAGTAATATAAATCAAATTGCTTCCGTTTTCGGTGGAAAGTCGGAACTTACTTTCATGTACACATCCACATCAGCGTCGGGCTTTATATTTGCCTCCTTTTCTCTTCTTAACAACTCTGCCAACATTTCTGCAGATTTTTTTTCACAAATACTATCAACACCTATTCTTCGTTTCGTTCTTTTAGTTTACAAAAAATCGGTAGTTTTTCTTTTTGCGGACTCACCATGATTGCTTCCGACTCCTTGACACCTGGCAGAGAAGGCCAAGGTTTCTCTTACAGTCATTTCTCCAATGTGGACATCATTTTGGCTTATGTATGCAGCTGTTCGTTGCGGTATAAATTCTTTCATAGTATGTCCATTATACGTCACATTTCCTGAAAACTGATTATCTAGGATGTTAAATTTCAGCCCCTACTTACTTTTTGTATTTTTATTTTTCCAATTTTAGAAAGATATTCATTTTACTTTCAAATCAGGATCGAGCATCCCGGCCAAAGCCAGCAAAAGTGTCGTTTTTCCGGAACTCGGAGGGCCTAAAAGAAGTGTCATGCTAACATGGGAAAATAAATAGAACAGATCAAAAACATATTAGCCAGAAAGAAGTAAAGTAACGAATTTGTTCGTGGATATTTACCGACTAGGCTTTAAAATTCCACTGACATTGTTCAGGATTAACAACGGCTTCTTTCTGCTACGAATTATTCGAAGATAGTTTGCAAATCCCTTAGAAAAAACACGAGTTAGATTGAAGTCCCATTGACAAAGAATGGCATATAGTACACATGTATTATATCGAATTGCTAAAAGAACTACCCTATGTTAATTTTTGGCAAAAAAAAACCCGTGATTCTATTTTTTCTAGCACACAACCCCTAAACAGGGGTACTAATTCGATATAACACAGGGGCACTAATTTCAATAAACACGAAAAATAATATAGAGATGATTTTAGTGATAATTTATAATTACCTCCAAGAAATTGGCGAAGAAATTGAGGAAAGAAGGCAATGCTCTACTGCCTGCATAAGCTTCTGTTTTAACATTCAGGTGCTCGAATCTCACTTCAATCGTCGGTAAATCTATTCCAACTCTGCACGTAATGAAAAAAAAAACAATCATAAATATTAACTAGAGAAAGCAAAAAACACCCGAGTCGAAAAAGAACTTCCACTAATACCTATCGATTCGATTCTTGAGCTTCAACAAGAACTTCTCATTGTCCTGTTCCGCAACATTAACCAGCCTCTCGAGCAAATCCGTCCTTTCTTGAAATCCAAGATCCTTTACATCGACCTCGCTCGAAACCCCTCCCAATCCAAGCAAAAGACCTTTTCTCAAACGGTCAAAAGTCGGAAGCTTTTCCAAAGCAGCCCATTTTAGAGCTTCTTCGTCATCTTCCTCTCCTCGTGACGAATTCGAAAACATTTCCAAACCGTTGCTCCTCCAAGTCGAACTATTTCTCCTGAAGCTATTAGTATTGGCTCTATATACATCACTAATATCCATCTATCTATCGTACGTGCTAAACCGGATAACAAAATACTGATCCATCTAATGTGCATGCATCTCTCTCTATATATATATACATTTCATTATTTCTTCAGTCGGGAAAACGACGAAGATAGATGTGAAAGCATTTAATTGCTAGAGCTAAATGTAGCACTTTAAATAACTATACGATTGGACAAAGAAAAATCTCAAGTCTAAGAGATATATCATTCATCATTCATCAATGCCTAAGAAGATGAAAAGTAGGAAACTAATCTACAAACTGTGTCCTCTACTTAAGGGGATTTCGATTTTTTTCGGCTGCGGATTAAATACAAATAGATATATGCAGTCAAGAAAATAGCCAAGTAGCAAAATGCAAAGTCAAAAACAAAAACATCCTACCACACTACAACGAGAGTGGAGCCAACACATACACAAGAATTTGGCGCTATGCATTTAGCTACTGAATTACAATTACAGTTAAATCTCTATAAATTAATACAGTCGGGATCACCCAAATTCTATTAATTTAGCGAAATATTAATTTAACGAAATATTATTTAACACGTTACTTCAAGTCGGGACCGGGAAAACATATTATTTAAACGAGGTTATTAATTTACCGAGTATTAATTTATCGAGGTTCTACTGTAATTAGGTTATTTTCTTTACAGTGATTTTTATTTTATTTTTTCAATTGAGAAATAATAAATTGTTTGTAAATTGGGGATAATTGAGTAATAGTAAGCAGAAGAAAGGTAAGAGCAAAATGAAAGTAAATTGTAAGAATTTAGTATATCTTCTAGCAGTTGAAGATTGGGAGGAGGAGAGTAATTGATCGTCTGAGAATTGAGGATATCAGAGAAGCTGCGGCGGCGGACCGGCGGTAGTGGCGGCGGCGGATTCAAAATTGAACCAATTCAATCGGAATCAGTTTAATTTTTTTTTTATTTCTTTATTTATAAAATATTATATTTATAGTCTTGTAGAAATATATTCAAAAAAAAAATAAAAAAATTATTCATATCAAACATCAATTTAGAGGCTCTAGAAATCAAACATTACTTTCAAAACATAAACATACAGAGTTTTGTCAGTTCAGTCCATTTTTTTGGGTTAGTATATTTTGTCAAGTCCAGTTTTTTAGTGGGAAAATGTATAAATTTTGGAGGAGAAGCTAGAAGTAGAAAACTAATTCAAGTTTTGTTTGAAAAATGGAAATCAAAATTTTTTGAAAATTTAGATTAAAAGAAAAATGTGATGACAACTATTTCTACTAGTTGGGGTCACAAAGTCGAACTGGCTCGAGACCAACTTTTTCCGAAGCCCAACGGTGTGGGGAGCAAAAGTCATCTTAATGTTGTGATGAACGATAGATTTCGGCGTTTTGGGGTTGTTTAGGCCATCAAGGCAATTTTTTTGTGTTTTTCAAAAGTTTTGAGAAAAGCATTTTTGGATTTTAGTTTCGTAAATTGTATTGTTTCAATAATTAAGAATTCTATTAGGATTATGAGTTATTTCGTTTTTTATTTTTTATTTTTTGTGTTTTGTTTATTATCTAGTTCAATTAGGGTTTTAGTTTTACTATTATAAATAATTGCCTTAGTGTACTCTATTGAATTTCAGAACTCTAAAAAATCCTTAGAGTTTTCTTTATTTTCAGGTGAAATACAAGAGTTTGTATTCTTGAGATTAATTCGTTATAATTTTTCTCTTCAATTGTTCTTCTGTTATGCATCAAATTGTCAAAATCAAAAACTTAAAGATTGGAATTGGTGGAATTTGAACTTTCATTCTTAAGTCACACATCATGTAAATTGGTGTGATAAATGTTATATAAGTTTTAATAATATCATTTCAACTTTAAATGTGATTTTGACCACTTTATAGGTGGAATTTGACAAAACTCTAAACACATAACTTGCAATTTATTGAGTTAACTTTCTAATACAACTTACATCACCAAGATTGGATGTCGATTGTAGTTCAATAAACACTGCCTACAAATTTGATGTTTTGAATTATCTAAAATTCAAAATGTAACTCATTCAAACATAACTTTGTCACCCGACATCCAATCCAGCTGATTTAAGTTGGAATACAAAGTTAATTTAAAGGTTTTTTATTTTCTTATTTTGAAAACTGCCAAAATCAGACTAGAAAATAATCAAAATCACTTTCGGAGTGAAAACCACATGATAAAAAAAAAAAAACATTTAACATTTGAATAATATAAACACATAATAATATTAATATTATATGTGTGATTTTCAAAAATCAAAGTCGAATCAGAAATCATAATTTAACATACATTCCAACGAAGTTAAAAAAGTCTTGAAAAATCATAAATTAAAATTTCAAAATTAAAAATGAAAAAATATTATTACAAAACCGAAATTTTCCGTATTAAAATAGTGAAAAGTCAGAATTTCGGTTATAAT